TTGTCCCATTACCACAGAGAGGCTTTGTAAGGTCCGACTCCCGTTTGGCGGATGAGAGTGAGGCCGGGAGAGGCGGGCAAAGCTCCCGCGGCCAGTGAGAAGCAGGGCTGGGCTTGGCACCCGTGTCTGGAAGACCCCGCAGCCGCGAGCTGTCCGTGAGGTAAGCGGGAGGGTTACTGTCGGGGCGATTTTCCTGCTGAGGAAGAAAAGGTTCAGGAAGTTGGAGGCCTGCCCAGAGTCACTCGGCGGACCTGAACCAGCGTTTGATGCCAAGTTCAGGGTCTCCTTCCCTCACGTGTCTGAATGCCGGGCCCCGGAGCGTGGCGCACGCGCTCCAACCTTTGCTCCTGAGTGCGGTCTGCGGTGCGGCGCCAGGCGGTCAGGAACGAGGGCCCCCGGGCCCCCCAGAGCCGCTGAATCAGGCGGGTCCCCCTCGGTGACTCGTGGGCACACGGTGTTCGGGAAGCCTGGAGTCTGACTTACGCTTTCGGCTTCCTCTGCAGGCTTCTCCGGGGTCAGAGAAGCAGGTCACACCTACGGGGCCTCTCCTGTGGTCGCCGAGCGTTCTCGCCGTCTGGCTCTCTTGGCGGAGGGTCTGTAAAATGACACAGACCCCGGTCTGCCCGAGTCTCTGAGTCTCCCCGCGGCTCAAGGGCCACCCAACTGCCGAGGGCCAGGAAAGCCACGAAGGGGATGCGGCTGCCGGGCCCGTACGGCGGAAGGCTCAGGACACGGCGAGGGCTCGGGCAAAGGAGCCAAAAACCGGAGGCTGAGGGTGAAGCCCGGCAGAAGCCCCTCGGCACGTCCCGCTGACACCTATGGATGCCTCCTCACACGGAGTGTGAAAGACAGAACTCCAGAGAGGGCGTCAACTAGGTCTCTGGAATAAAATAACGAGGACGGTTACACCAGCGGTGAATCACCGTTATCACTGTCCACAGAGGGCCCGGCACAAGCTGGGGCTTTTCGGGCCACACTACGGGCGGGCTGCTGCTAGGTCCATTCTATGGAAGAGGGAGGCGCAGCCCAGAGATGCCGAGGGTCTTGTCCCTGGCCTCAGGGCGAGTGGACAGCAGAGCCAGGGTGCGAACCCGGTTCCAGAGGCTCCAAATCCCTTGCTCTGTCCAGTGCACTCGCTCAGCTCGGACTCCGGAGTCAAGTCACAATCCAAGCACGTGCTTGCAACAAAGGTTAGTTCTCCTGACGATTACAGTGAGCGAGCGACTTCCTTGCGACTCCGAACACTGGAGAGACCCTTGGATCCTGTCTGGGCCTCCGTGAGTGCACCTGCCTCCCATTCCTGCAGAAGTTCCAGAGGGAGATTGCGGACGAGACTTCTCCATATGATTTCTCACTGCCCTGCTGTGTCGGTCGGTGGCAGCGGAAGCTCCCGGAAGTCGGGTCGGGGCCTAAGTGACAAGTCACGGGCAGTCCCATTTCCTTCTAGTGCCAAGGTGGGCAAATGTAGGAATAGGACTAACATCTGAGTGCGGACTCGGTGCCAGGAACTGAGCGGGCTGCGGGCCTCGTGCTGCTTCATTTAAGCCCCGCGCCCCCTGAAGGGGACAGGAGACTCTGAAGAGGCGCACGCAGAGGCCGGCCTGGGATGGAGCAGGAAGTCAGGGTTGGCACGCGTCTCTGTGGTCCCGAGCCCGCGCTCTGCTTCTCGAAACGGTGCTCCAAACCAACCACTTTCCACAGTTCTGCAGCTGCTCTGATCAACCTATGAGCTTTCCAGGAAATAAGTCTGGGGCCTGAGGGAGCCCTGGATCTACATGTTAACCAACCTCAGAGATAACCTGTCTGTTCGCGACCCTGTCACTTTTCGTAGTGTGACATCTGCTAAGTTAACGGGACAAAGATAGGCTCATGGCTCTGCTAGGTCAGAAACGCTGCGGAGACCAGCGTTCCATGTAAATATTCTCAGGCACTTGCAAGTTCTGGCCGTGTTATTAAAATCGTCTTCATGTAAGGGCTCCTGGGTGGCTCAGTCGGTGGAGCGGCCGACTCTCGATTTTAGCTCAGGTCGTGGTCCCAGGGTCGTGGGATCGGGCCCCACGTCAGGCTCTTTGCTGAGTGTGGAGCCTGTGTGGGATTCTTTCTCTCCCTCTGCCCCTCTCTCCCGCTCCTACACTCTCAAAAAAAAAAAAAAAAGTCATTGTTTTGGCACAGAATGAGGCTCTGGGTGTCTCATACTGGACACTACTGATGTTGTTTAGGGAGCTTGGCAGGATTCTTTCCCTCCCGTGGTACAAATGCTCCAGGTGAGAAAAGCCGGCACGCATGGATTTCTCTTGGGTGCCCAGGCGTTCTGACTGTTGTAAAAGAGCTGCCAGGCTTTCAAGACATCTCTCCTGAGTCCCTGGATCTCAGGGGGCCAGCCTCCCGCTCAGACCCTCCAAGGGCTCCCTGCTCCAGGCAGGGAGAACTCACAGGAGGCTGGAGGCATCAGGGAAAAACGGGCAGGTTTGACATGGGTTTCCTGAGGAGTATAAATCTGGGCTGAACAGAACGGGGCACGGCTGTATATCCTGCAAGGATGATCCTCAGCGTGGGGGCAAAGCTGAATGGACCCAGACGTAGCTGTAAAGTTTGCCCTCACACGCTCGTGAATTTATGTGGATTGTTTTCAACGGACATACATCTATCACTTCTATCCATTTGTGTGTAAGACACGTACTCCAGGGAGATGGCTGCCTCTGGGAGGTGGGTGAGAGGGCAAGGGCCCGGGCGGTGCTGAAGACGACCTTCGCTTTATCTGAAGTGTGCTACTTCTCAAAACAGAAGTGGAAGCAAACAGGACACTGTCAACCGCTACTGACTCTGCTTAGTGGGTGAGACTGGGGAGTCTGTTACATTTTCCTTTGTACCTTCTTTCCGCTGCAGGAGCCTACGTGCCCTTTAAGCTCCAGGCGCCCCATCGTGAGCTATCCACACACGTGGTCGAAAAGCGCTCCTTCAGATAAAAAGCAGAACACAGACATCATGTGCTGAAGTACAAATTTAATAAAGCCTTTGATCACGTTTTAATCTCTAGGTTATCTATGAAACAACAATGACAAAAAAATGCCACAACTTTTTAGAGCCATCAAGAGCCATCGAGGTGTCCACGAACACCAGCCATAAACGTACAGATGCAGGGTTTTAGATAGTGCAATATTTCCAGCTGTTGAAGAGAATTTAAACGAAATCACAAACTACCCCTCCTCATCAAAAGAACAAATAAAGTTGACGTTGGTGCTTGGAAACCACTCTCTCCGCAGTCCCACGCTGGCGGATTCTCAGGTAATAAAAGCTGAGGGGGAATCACACGTCTTTGTGCAGGTGGACAATCTGGGCCGCAGCATAAACGTACAAACCTGCTCAGTGCACCTGCACACATTCAGAGGAGAGCTTTAGGAGAGTCGGGTTATTTAAAGTGGCAAATCCATAGATCTAGAGGTTACTAACAAATCTTAAATAACAAATTCCTGTCTGTCTTTAGATTCCTTGCCGTCTTTCCATCAAAGGAAAACTCTGTTCTCCAGAAGTGCAGGGGCTCTAACAGAGCCAGGGTCGAACCCGAGCAGGACGTGGTACCCAGCTGTGACCCTCTGATGGAGGCCATGGAGACAGGTCTTGCCCGCTTTGCCACCAGCATGCCGGAAGGTGCTTTGCTGCTTGGAAGAGAGCTGTCAGCCCTCAGCCGGCTCCACAGAGCAGAGGAGGGACCAGGCACTCCCGGCTTCTACCTTGGTGGTAGGGATGCGTAAGGAGCTTGAGGGGGTGGGTGAGGGTGGATGGCTGTCAACACAGGCCACAGACACGGCCTCTGTCTCAAGTGCCTGGATCTAGACTAAAGTTCTCAGGACAAGGGGTGGGAATGAGGGCGGGGGGAGGGGGCATAATGGGTTGGAAGAGAAAATGAAGTAAAAAAAACAAAACCCCAAACCCCAACTCAGTTTCCTCAGCCCTTTGAGCCTCCATCAGGGAAAGGGCTCCCGGTTCTCTGCATTGAGGATGGATGAGCGGTAAGATCCAAGGTTTTTTTGTTTGTTTGTTTTGCAACTTTATCATCAATGGAGGAAAGTCACTGCCTGGACAGGCTGGGTAACTTGGCTAGTGCTTGCTCCTTACTAGACAACAAGTAGGGCACACCAGCGGGGAGAAGGCAGCCGCCCTCTTAGGAATCAGCAGGTTTGGGGGAACAGCCAGAGCCTTCTGGAAACAGAGTTGCTCTTAAGGGCCAAGGGTTTTTTTTTCCCCCAAAGCCAGATGCCAAAGTGAGTACACAAGATGGGGTCAAGCCAGTGGAAGCCTCCCGGCCGCTCAGCCTGCTGAGTGCGCACAGCATCTGAGGCGAGAGACAGGGGAAGGGGCACTGCCGCTGTGTGGAATGCGTGGTTTCGAGGTGGGGGCAGCGCCCTGAACTTCCTGGGCTCCACGGCCTCCCTGGCGGGCACCTCTGCTTCCCTGGGCAGCAGGTGAGCCTGGCGGTCTGGAGAGAGGCTGCTGTGGCCCGGAGGGGCAGAGACTTCGTCGAGTGCATAGAGGCTTGGCGAGGCCTTACCTGAGTAGAGTTTTCGGAAACGGAAGGAGAGCATCTCACCTGTAGTGGGCTTTGCGCACTCGGGTCCGTGTCATGAAAAACACTCTGGACCCTGGGAGTTCTTGGGACTTGTTCATACGCAGCTCAGAGTTAGGGAAAGAAAAGACTCACCGAAAAACCAAACCATCAGAAGAAGGCCCTCTGCGTCACAGGCCCCCGGAAAGTAGGAGAAAAGGAGCAGCGCTGGCGGAACTTGGAGGTTTATTCTCAACACCCTTCCCATCAGTGTCACCTAGGGAATGCTATGGAGTTGTCACGTGCGTCCCAAGTTGTTGAGGCCACAGGGGAGTCTCATGGCTATAGAGAGCGAGAGGTCACCTGGCTTGTGGTCACTTTCCCAGGGCGCCACTACCCCCGGAGCCGAAGGGCCCGGGACGCCGGGAGTCGGCCAGGGTGGGGGCGGGCGCGGGAGCTAGGAGAGCTCGAAGCCCGTGTTCATGCTGACGGCATAGCGCAGCTTCTCGCGGAGCACGCTCTTCCTGCTGTAGTTGGGCAGCTTGAGCAGGTTGAAGCAGGTGGAGGATGTGGGCAGGCGGCCGCCTGGCTCCCGCTTGCGGATGGTGAAGAAGCCCCGGAGGACACTGCCGAGGGTGTCCCCGGTGTCCTGCAAGCACACACCACAGCCTTGGGCGGGAGGCGCCCGGCGCCAGGGGCGGAGCACGACGGCGGGCCGGCAAGCGCGCACGCTGCTGCCCGAGGCCAGCCCCCAATCGCGGCATGACTGGCCCCGAGCGCTGAGTGCACGGAGGTGGACCCCGCGGCTCGGTCCTGCACAAGGACTCCTGTGTTAAGTACGCCCTCAGAGATAGGGCTTTCCGCTTAACTACTGGCTAGCGGTTTTCAAAGAGCCAGAATACTGTAAGAATACTCGAGGTACAAAATCATGCCTAATGCAGCTGAACGATTCCTACTGCCAGCGTGGCGGCCTACGGAGGACCGTAAGTGGGGCAGCCTCCTTAAGTAAGGGGACTGAGGGTCGGCTAGTGTTTCACGAGGGACCTGGAGCCCAGACCGCACCATCCTGAAGGGAGCCACGTGCAGGGACTACTGGGTTTCGCGGGTGGTGAGGGGAGGGCTGAGACCCTTTCACTGGCGACTCTTCGAGGGCCCCTTCCACACAGCATGATGACCCTGAAGGCATCCGTTCTCCCGCACAGACAAGGAGATGAAGCGACGTGCTGGATGTGCACGGCCGGCATTCGGGCTTGTGCCGCCCACTCCTCAGCCGGCGTCCCTACCCCTCTCTCCCACCGCCCCTCACACCCGGAGCCCTGGTCGGGCCGGCAGCTGCCAAAACCGCTCCCGGGTACTTTCTCCCAAGGGAGTAAGGAGAGCTCAGGCCCCAGAGCAGCCCGGATCTGAGGGTACCCTCTGGGTGCCGGACAGCTCTCTCGGCCAGAGGGCCGTGGAACCTTCTCACGGGGCTCTGAGGAGCCGCGCTGCCTGCCGTGCGGACACGGACCGGGTGGAGGCTCCAGCCGGTGGGCAGAGCCGACAACAACCAAGAGGGGCCGACTGTCCCCCCACCACCCCCGGCAGCGGTACCTGATCGTCTGACACTTCAACACAGCGGATGGAAAAAGGAGGCTTGAGGTAGGCGAATCCCAGGAGCGGGGGCCTGGAGCAGCTGGTCACAAACTGCAACACAAGGCAGGTTGGGGGACAGAGTGGGGCCCTTGCTCCCTCAAAACAGGCCCCTTACAGGCGAGCTTCCCTTTTCTGCCTTCTCCGGTCACGGTCCCATTAACTGCCGTGCAGCTGCCAGGACGGTGACAGAGAGTGCATTCGGTCCAAGGGCCGGAACACATCTCACATCTCTCTTAAGGGTGCTGCTCTCGAAGGTTAAAACCCCTGAAGACCACACAAGTGGGTGTGACTTTGTGGGCATCAACCCCATCACTGAGTGGAGAATGTGCAGCTCAAGAGTTCAGGAACAACACAAACTCCCCACACGGGACTGACCCCCAGTGGGTCTGGCACGGTGACCATCGCTCAGACAGACACCATGCAATGGGAGCACTGGGGACAGTGAGACCGTGATGCCCACCAAGCGTGGCACAGGAGAGGGGGCCCTGCTCCCCCTGCACCTGGCTTCCTGCTCGGCTTCCTAGCCACGCAGGCAAGGGTATGTGGGTGGGCTCACCCAAGCTCCCAGCCTGCTGGTTTACAGAGCAGTCTCTGTGAGTGGTCTCTGACAGATGAATCTGCTCTCAGCATGTGGACAAAAACCAGGCCTCAAGGGCCAGCAAGGCTGAGGGGCAGACCAAGACCTGAGATGGGGCCTACGGGCAATCAGCCCTGCTCCCTTGCCAGACTCTCGGGATTCCTTGCATCTTCCACGTGGCCGCACCCATGTTATTTCCCCCAACGGGCTAGCTCATGTCTGGACAGAGGAATCGGAGTGACCCGGAAATCCAAGGGATAAACCTGCCCAGGGAAGTCCTAAGAAACGATTTGCTTTCTAAAGTTCAACATCAGCTAAAAATGCGCTCCCTTCTCCAGGGCAGGTACGGACCTGCTACTTACAACACCAGGCTGTGCTTCCAAATGCCACGGCAAGCCGATGTCTGAGGGCTCTGGGAGCCCGGTCTCGTCTAATCACTCCACGGAAGCTTGTGGGATTTGCTCTGTGTTAAGGAGGAGGAGACAGACCCAGGAGAGTCTGTGCATATTCCAATTCGGGCTGCTCAGACCTGCTGCAGGCCAGGGCTGCTCAATGAAGGGAGTGGTGCCTTCACCCCCTGGGGCAGGAGGAGGAGGAAGGGGGGTGGCGGGGAGGTGGCCCAGGGAGCTGCCATCTGCTGGCGTGACGTCTAGAGAAGGCAGAGTCATGTCCACTCCTGTGCTACGACGCTTGTGTAGTACGGTACCACCCGGCTCTGGGGCCCGTGTGCAGAAAAGGGAGAGCACACGAGCAGGAACGGCAGCTCTGGCGACAGGCTATCCAGAGACACACAGGCCCGCCGTGTGGGACAGTGGCTGCACACGGTTATGAGACACTGGCCCTCTTCCTTTCTGGGAGAGGCAGGGCGAGCGGTTTTATGGGTCGGCAGAGTGTTTTGCCTACAGGAGGCGCTGTCGGAAAACCTGAATTGATTCTCTTGAGAATCAACTTCTGGAATTAGGTCCACCTGCCTACCCCAAGTCCCTCAAAACCTGCAGGGATGACCAGGGCATTTCTGCATCTGTGAGAAGGGCCTCCTTGATGGGAATGAACTCTCCTCACAACAACAAACCAAGGAGGAAGAAAACCCTCTGCCATTTCAATTGGTGGTGATACTGTTCATGCTGCTTCAATGACTGCGGTCACTTGAGACCATTCGAGAAACCCAAATGTCCGAAGGAAAATATTTTAAGGCACTTAAATTTATCCCCAGAATATGGCAAAATGTTCGTGACAAAACATCAAATAGAAGACCAGATAACAAAGTGACGATTCCATTTTTATAAGATACACAGGTACACAACACATACACAGACAAGTGTAAATACCATCCAGTGTCCTATAACACACTTTGCCGACGTCAGTAACAGGAAACACGGTAGCCCTGAGGGAACGCTTTGAACATTTACAACTTCAGAGACACCAGTATAAGGGAACTGGTTAATGTCAGCCACTCTGCAAAAATATATGTCACTACCAGCCTACTCAACCATATGTGTTTCTTAAAAAATATGTTTTTTTTTATTTTGAGAGAGAGGGCGTGTGCGAACCGGGGAGAGGGGCAGAGAGAGAGGGAGGGAGAGCATCCCAAGCAGGCTCCGCGCTCAGTACAGAGCCCAGTGCGGGGCTCGATACCACGAACTGTGAGATCATGACCTGAGCCGACATCAAGAGTCAGATGCCCAACTGACTGAGTCACCCGAGCGCCCCTCAGTCACATGTGTTTTATCAGGACATTGTGTGTGTGACACTGTATGTTTCACACTACTGAGAAAAAGGGTACACAGAGGCAGTCCCTAGAGAGCAGGAATGGAGACTGTTAAAAGTCTGCTCATCTGGTGGGTGCCTGGCTGGCTCAGTCAGTGGAGCGCGTGACTCTTGCTCTTGGGGTTATAAGTTTGAGCCCCACATTGGGTGTAGAGGTTACTTTTTAAAAAAAATCTTAAAAGAAAAAAGTTTGCTTGTCTGTATCTTAAGGTAATCAACACCGTTTGCTTCTATAAGGAAGAAAGAAGATACAGGCAAGGCCAGCGCCAATGAAGGGGAAGACGGAGTGCTGAGCCCAGCCAGCTCGGGCCCAGGCAGGCCTGTTTCTGCAGAGGAGTAGGCAGCAGGTCCCGGGCGCACCCGACTCAGCCTCGCCTTGGGCCTGTCTTGTTACTTACTGCTTGACTTACCAAGGAGGCCGGCCTCCGGGAGAGGATATGCCGATAAAATGAGGTCCTCTTGGTAATTTTATTTTTTTCCAGTGTAAATTACTGTATCAAGTGGCGTCTAGGTTTAGGAGAGTATCTATGAATGTGCGTAAAGGCAACATATAAAATACCTTCAGAAACATGGCTCTCTCGTCAGGTGTGAAGTCAGAGGCCAGAATATCCCAGAGCCAGATGATGACCCTGTGACTTCCGTGAAACCCACCGTAGTACACCGTGTGCTTCCTGAAAACAACGCAGACAATGGGCTCAGACACACACTCCCACGGGTGCTCACAGACACAGGCAGGGATGGGATTTAGCCAAATGACACAGCAAACCCGGGCAGGCCCGGGCGACTACTGACTTCCTGGAAGGCTGGAAGCTCATGCCTTCGTAACCCATGTCCCTGGAAGCTAAGTGGGCAGGGAGCTTAAGAGCCAGGCCTGCAGCTCCGGAGCAGGAGCCGACAGGAGATCCTGCAATCCCATTTCCCGAGCCCTGGAGAGCCCAGCGGGCGGTCCCTGAGACTTGCTCAGTCTCCACTTCGACTTCTTGGGTCCCCAGACAGACAAGTGGCTGAGCTTTTATTCCAGGGCGATTCACCCTTAATCAGGGAGCAGTACACTTGGAGGTGGGCTGCAGAAACAGCTCTCTGAAGGGAGCCCAGCAAGGGAGCAGAGCTTGCTTTCCGGGTGGCCTAAGATTTCACCTCTCCCCCCTCTTTCTTGCTCCTTACTTTAAATCTTCCAGGTCAATCTCAGCATTGTCACCGGAGATGAGACGCTGTAGCTCGGGGGTCGAGAACATCCGGATCCACTCGGGCTTGATAATGGAACGGAACCCGCTAATGAGGGCAGCTGTCTGGTTTTTGATCTGAGTGTGCATTCGAAAGTGGGCCATCAGATGGATGTAGCTAATCCTGTTGCAAACAAGAGAAAACGACGGGAATGAAAAGGCCAGGGCGGGCTGTTACCAATGGAACGAAAGAGGAGTCCAGTCATTTCTGGACCATTTTGCAAAAACACAAACGGCACAAGGGCGTCTCACCAGAACGATCATGAGGACGATGATGGTGGTGGTGCCACTGTGTACGCGCCGTGCGTTCAAGGGCACGATCTCACTCATTCCTCCCCCAAACCCAGTGGGTCACGATCGGGCGACACCCCACTGTACCAAGAATAGAAGTGAGACATTCTCCAGGTGAGGAGAGGACCCTTCTCAGTACAAAGGGTGCTTTTCGGGCTTCTATTTAATTTCACTGATATAAGATATAATTCAGTCCTCCAATAAGCTTTAAAGCAGAGGAAACGTGGTTTCATGATGGAACCTCGGTCAAAGCCTTGCTAATCCAGACCAAGGCTCTCAGCCATGAAGAGGTAAGCCTGCGGATAGTTGTAACTAAATGCAGCTGGCTGACGGGTTCGATGGGGAAGCCAGAGCACTAACACGGGTTCCGAGCAGATGGTCTTCGGGGTCTGTTTTCATGAGCACGGTGACCTCATCTGCAACACTATATACCGTGCAACTCTTTCAAACAGGTTAAATCCGGGCTTGCTACCATCGCGGATTTCTTAGCAAACCATTTCCTCAGAGATGAAAGAACCTGAGGCCAGCCCAGGTGCAACTCTCAAAAGCCCAAATTAGCACAGTCCCAATAAAAATTTTACCCCACGATGCTCAGATTTGAGTTACTGACCTTGAAAATAGGACTATTTAAACCAGTAGCAGACCCACACATCAGTATACTCACGTATGACTTTTCCCATTATCGCCACTCATGGACTCTCTGAAGCTGTTGCTGACGTTCCATTTTACCAAAAGGGAGGGACTGTGGGGGACTTTCCCATTTTACCTCCCCGACCCCCAGATCAAACATCACCCCTGAGGAGGGCAGCATTGGCATTTCCAGACCTCTTAAGACCATCCGTAGGACCGAACCCCCAGCCCTTATACTGAGCTTGGATGCTAAGAACGTGTAAGCGTTTGTGAAGCGGCATCCCACACGGGTCTCCAGGCAGGACAGGGACCTCACTCCAACACAGGCCGCACCGACCCCCTGCCCCCAGCTGTGCTACATGCCGCTCCCACCCTCACCTCTGTGCCGCGATGCCTGGCCAAACGCGGCCGATCTGAGGGTGGCGGGCTCTGTGTGACACGTCACACATCTGACAGTGGTGATGCTCGCTGCTCCCACTGACCAAAGCTTCCCTTTGAGCCACACATCCTGAAAGGTCTGTTGCGTGGCATTGCTTCACGCGAAGCCCTCAGAAGGGGCGGTTACAGGCCCATGGCAGGCAGGCACACGACCCGCCCCTGCTCTCGGACACCCTCAGGCAGTGCCTCCCAGCCTCAGCTCCCTGTTCTTTGCTCAGTTGTCCAACTGATGCCCCGTGGCCAGGAGTCAAAACTGGGGTCTTTTGGGGCGCCTGGGTGGCGCAGTCGGTTAAGCTCCGACTTCAGCCAGGTCACGATCTCGCGGTCCGTGAGTTCGAGCCCCGCGTCGGGCTCTGGGCTGATGGCTCGGAGCCTGGAGCCTGTTTCCGATTCTGTGTCTCCCTCTCTCTCTGCCCCTCCCC